TCTTGTCTGTTAATATTTATGACAATGCTGCTGTCAACAGTAAAATAAGTTTATAACCCTTCCCCTGCCTCTAAATTGTTTCCCTTTTGGGTATTACTCTGGATTCTAACCTTCTTGGCAATAGAAAAGTGGGAAAATTGAACCTAGTGGGAAATGAAAATAGCAACTTGTTGAAAAACAGCAACTCCTGTTGCTTGTTTCCAGCAATTTGCTGAAAATAGCAACTTCTCAGGCACTTCCCAGGTAGTTTTAAGAAACAACCCTGATTTTTAGTACAATGACAATACATAGGTATATCTCAGAAACATGCTACTTTTCTTGAGAGGGGTGGGAAACGGCTTTATTATCAGGATTTTAAACACTGCACCCAATTAATTTTGTTTAATAAACCTATTTGAAGGAGACCAGATGTTTTCCTGTTTGCTGTCTGGAGCCAAACAGCTAAGAGAAAATAAATGATAGCAAAAGACTGCCAGAAAATATTAAAAATCATTATTCTCAAGCAGGCTTCTTTTAAAAATAAAGTATTTTTTCCCCCTTAAATTGGAATAAGCTTAATTTTAATTGAAGTGACAGTGTTGGTTAAGGTCACGTCACAAAATTACTAGATAGTTCCATATATATATTTATATATATAAACACACCTTTACTGTTATCAAAATTATACTCTGAAACTTGCAACTACTGTGGGTCAGTTCCTCACAGGAAGCAGAGAAGTATCTTTTCTAACTTTTTGCCCCCATCTATACACATTTTATCACACAAGGGGTTGTTTCAATGTTTAAAATATGCTAATTTGGTAGAGTCCTTCCACATGCCGAGCACTGTCAAGGTAGGCACCGTTTGAGGGTGTTTGCTGCTGTCAGAGGAATACAACTGTAACAACACCAACCAAACAAAGGGTTACTAGGAGGATTCCCAAGTTTGCCAAGAGTACATTTTGCTGATGTCAGCAACCCGGAAGGTAAGTTGATTTTGACCATATGTAGGAATAGACAGCAGAGGGATAATACACAGCACTGCTGGGTGTGGTTTTACAGGGATTTAGCAAGTGCCAACTAGCAAAATAAGCAGGGCAAGGAGATTAATTACCTGCAAAGGTGCATGTTTAACTCTCAGCAGCGCTGGGTTATGGAAGAGATGTTACTAGCAAGCATTTTGCTTAATCACCTAATTACGTAAAAAATAAATACATTACATAAAATACTATGTTAATTAAACACAGCTGAGTGACAGTCTGCTCCACCCTGGCCTCATGTGCACACACAGACATCCAGAAGTGCAGTTGTGTGTTCTCTCTCAGGGTGACATTCTGTGGCATGGGTGAAAGAGATCCTGAACGATGGCACTGCTGGGTCAGTGGCGCCGCGGGTTGGGTTGTTCCTCTCGTGCCAATATTTCACAGGTGCCCACTCACACAATCTGCCAAGCAAGGTGGGGTTTAGTGCCAGTTAGCTTCACAAGGAGATGAGGAGTACTTCACGATGAACCCTTTTATTGGTCTCTCATCACATTTGAGGATTAGGCCTAAAAGAAAGCAAAGTAAGTTTATATTCTTTCCTCCATCTGTTTTGTAAACAGTGTGGTGGGCTGGGAGCCTGTTGCTATCTGGTCACCTCAGCCCAGATTAAAATTCAGCACTCTCAGTGTATTTCTTAATAGATCACTGTGTGATCAATACACATAAGGGTAATGAAAGACCTGCATGCACTTATATGTGGTGAAATGCAAAGTTTTAACACTTACTTAACTGCCAAGACTAAAATTGCCTAATGCACTATGGGCCTTACTGCTACATGGAATAGGCAGTTCTCTCCGAGATTCAGAGAGAAACTCTTTTTGTTGCCCCAGCTGTACTCACAAGGGAATATTTTGCAAATAACAGCATTGTGAACATGTATTTTGTTTGGCTGTGAGTGTTGTCAACGGATTCAGGAAGTGAAGTCAGAAAAAGGCAGGGTTTCAAACAGGGCAGGCTGCACAGAAATGCCTGGGCAAAGAGCCTCTAATCAGAACAACATGTTTGGGACACAGGAATATTAATTAGAATTTGGGTCTCTACTGAAACCAATAGAAGCCTCACACTTCTATCCCATGAACAGAAGTGAGCTACAAAGAGGGGTTTGACCATCATTACTTACTGAATAATTTTAAATCCAAAGTACTTATCATTATAGGGAAGAACAGTAACAATTTAACTTATTCTCCAGTGGGATAGAGTTAGAGTTACCAGCCACTTTCAACCTCAGAACACAATGGAAGTTTGTACAGACCCCTGTGTATCTGTAGGTCTGAAAAATACCAACCTCAAAACAGAGGACTTTAAATACCGGCCTAAGGCAGCACATACCCATTTAACAATGAAGTGCAACAACCAGAGATTCCCCAGCTATCTCTATTTTATAGAGAGCTGTCAGGAAATCCAGACAATATCTCTCCAATTTATATAAAAAACGGCTGACAGTTCTGTCCCATGCAGAAGTCTAAGAAATCCATTACAATAGTTACTTTCTGAAAAGCAGCTCAGGCTGGAACAAGCTCAGGCACCACTGGAGAGCACCATGGCGTGGGCTGTGCCATGTCCAGGAGAAGCACAAGGCAGAACTGAAAAAAAATCCACTTATCTTTAAAATCAAGCCTAGCACTTTCTCTGTTCTCCACCTCTTCTTCCCTGCCCTTATTCCCAAGACTACTGTATAACAACATGGAGTTACCCACATCAAGAACTAAAACCAGTTCAGGCAAAGTTGGCTGTGTAGAAAACAAAAGTTACAAACATCATGAGTGAACACAAAAATATTGCTAACAGGCAGATGGACAGCAAGAAAATATTTGAAATTACCATATACACAAACCCATTATGAAACAGAAGATAACTTAGGAACATCTGGCTCCAGCTGAGGGACAGGAGAATGAAGGCCTTATAAGTAAAGAAAAGGAAACTTCAAAATGCAGATGGTTTGCTTCTTGGGAAGGTAATTCTTCCAGAGAAGTGCTTGTTCCTTGGAATTACACGCACTGCCAACACCAGAGCACCCAAGGGCTGGTGGCCATCCTAATTCTACACAGATCTGTTACTGTTGACATGAACAGGATAATGTATCCTCTGAACACAGAATGTGCTCCTTACAAAGGAAACTTGTAGAAAGTCATCATATAATTCACCGTGAAAGCCTCTGACTACCAAAACACTTTTAGAGTGGTATTGCACAGCAGGGCCCTCTTTTCCCATTCTGCACATTATTCTTTGCAGTACGTTTTTGTTAAGAAACAATGGAACTACAAAAATCAAATTAGATTTTCATCATGGTCCCTTCTGTCCCTAAATGTCTGAAACACTAGAAGTATAGTTACAATGGGGAAGAATGGCTTTTTAAAATGTTAATTAAATATTGAAAACACTAATTTTCTTAGTGATAGAGTAACAACAGACATCAGGAGAAAACCAAACAAAAACCTAATTCAGAAAAATGAGGAAATAATCTGGTTTTGAAATCTCATACAGAACTCGATAGGTCATGACTGACCTGATTAATACAAATCTCTATAAAATACCTAGAAACTGTGAACAAAAGCAGAGGAAACTTAGTATTTGTTTTCCTCAGTCTCACAATTATTTTCTGGGTTTGAGTCTTCTATTCTCCAAGCAATCTCCAAGTTGAACCCTTAAACAAAAGGACGAGCAACTTGCTGAAAATTCCTCTGAACTGTGAATTTCATTCCTTATTCTCTTTTTAATTAAAACCAATTCCTGTGAGACCTGGCAGCATAATAACACCAAAGATGTGGGAAATAGAATAGAATTCCAGCAGATGGAGCTCAAAAGCAAACAGTCCTGGAACCAGCTGCACAGATGCCTGGAACAGGAGCCTCTGCTTAGGTGGTGTTGTAGCCAAAAAAAGACTTCAGATGAAACCTGTTATCATACAAGTGTGCTAAAAACAGAATAATTTTAACAGCTTTCCTGAATTCTTAAAATAATCACTGCAATCAGGAGGGAGGTCCTGCATGATTTTAGTGATAGAATAACCACAATTACTTCAGAGGACACTTAGAGTTCAAACTGAGTGCTCATGGCTGTTTTTCTGAATTCTCCTCCCCAGTGATGGCTTGGCTGACATGGCTTTTAGATGGCTGCTGTTACCACACCTTTCTGTCTCAGATAAGGAGTCATAAAAAGACACAGGACACTGGGACCATCCAATTAAGTTGCCATGCAAACTCACAAAGCCTGTCTCTCACATAGCACTGTACTAGAAAGAGAAAACTGAACAAGTTTTGAATCTCCACTGAATGGATCACTGGTAAGTTTAAAAGCATGGCCAAGCACTACCAAAATTGGGGCTACCTATTTCAAGTGATGTGATTCTCAAAGTTGCTGACTTTGTGTGATGGCAAATCAAACCACCCTGGCAAATATGAAAAGTTCATTTTCATTTGTGTCCAAAAGCATTTTTAGAACTTTCAACAGCAGCAAAAATTGTGAGCTGCTGCACACACCTTGCAAGCTCTAGAGGTTGTTTTATTTTCACCTTGAGTAATCAGACACTAAAATCCGTAACACTTTAGAGATACAGCTCAGGATTTATTCAGTTTAATTTCTGACACCTAACAAAGCTGGGGTAGGAGGCACCACAGGTTTTCCTTAGAGTTGACAGAAAAACACAGGCCCCTTCAGAGAGTGATCTGGATAAATTAAATTGCTGGTTGAAATGCCTGTGCCTCAGCAATGAGGTTTTTTTTTTAACTTAGGAGCCTCCAGTCAGATAGGACGAAACCAGGGAGCAACAATTACCTGATTAGAATCAGGAGACGTTCACTACACAGAACATTTCTGCAAACATCCACCACATGTTAGTGATGAACAAATTTCCATATGCAAAGCTTTACTCTGCTGCAGTCCATACATAATGTACACCTTTTTTTCCCTATCCAAATATTATCTCCAAATATTAACTGTGCAAAACTCCTTGCAAGAAGTAATTAAAAACAAGACTTACAATGAACCCTCCAGTGGTGTCTCAGGGCTCCAGTCAAGATATGATCTTTATCATGTTAATAATCACCAAGTGTCTGACCCAAATACCTGAAGGGGAAAAAAAAGAACCTGAATTCTCCAGGCAAAATTCATCCCAAATTTTCTTGTTTGGCTCTGCTCTCAATCATACAGATTGTCTGTTCTCCCTGCTTCCTGACTGAACAAGATGAAGTATTTATAAGTACATATATTTTAATTAGTTAAGCAAGTGCTATAATATGCAAAAATACATAAAAACTATGTAAAAATATACAATAAGTGTAGCTGACTCCAAAAGTGACAATACAGAAGTTTGCAGTTAGTCTCCAAAAAGCTTACTGACCAAAACCGACTCCTGGAAAGTTAACATCAAATTTCCTTCTTTAAATGATGATTTGTAAGCAGAATTTAGTGTTCTTCGCCCACTTTGCACCTCTTTGAAGCAGAGATTTCTAACCAGAGATTTCTGGTACAGCAAAATTTCCAGTTATCAGGAGTGTGACCTATGGAAAAGCAGGCAGCTTTTCTCTGTGTAGATGTATCTGTGCTTTTAATACATCAGTATGGTTAAAGATGTCTGGATTTTATTTCCCAGTTCTGCACTCCAAAAACCAACTCAGCTCAGTATATTTAGGGAAGTGTCCTTCACTGCACTTCAAACTACTGACAGTTTAGGCTCCATATAATTTTGGAGAAGTAACAATGAAATGGACCAGTCTGGCTGTTTCTCAAAATACTGACAGTTACCAACAAAGTAGCACAAGTCCTGAAGATGCTGAATATCCCGGTTTTGGAAATCAGGCCACTGATAAATCTTGGAAAGAAAACACGAGGAAGGAAGGAAGGATTCCAGGAAGGAAGGATTCCAGGAAGGATTCCAGGAAGGAAGGAAGGAAAAATGAGTAAGGGCTAAACACTTGGTAACAGGAGCTGAGCTTTTTCTTATCTTAGTCTCAGACTAAGTGTTCATTTTGTTAGAAAGTTACACAGATCCATCTCTTTCAAAGGGATGGTTTCAAACTGGTCCAGGTGTGCACATCTGTCCTTATGTGCAACCCGTGGCCTCCCTGAATGACCTCAGGTAGCTTTAGCTGGTGTTTGCTGAAGGTACCAAGGAAGCAGTTCAGGTTTCTGTGCCAGTCTGTGGACTTCAGGAGCCACTGCTGCTGCAGGGGCTGCTGCTGCCAGGCACACACCGCCAGAGGCACCTCCTGCACTTAGGGAGCTCAGCTTTGATGTGCATAAGCATTTTTTTTTACCTCGGTGTCATCCTGAGCAATCACCTTTTCCCTTCTCCTTTTCTTTTCCATTCCCTCCTTTGTGCTGGTAGTGCTTTTGGGAATATTTTACCCTGCATTGCTCCCCTTATTCTGCTACCCACAGAGCTCTACAAACACCTGAAATGACAGAAAACAGAGGAGGTGGAACAGAAATGCAGGTACAGGCAGTGAGGATGTGGCATCTCCTCAAAGAAATGCTCACAGCAATATCTGGATTGTCACAGATCAAGCCAGAACTCCTAAATTCCTTCTTCTCAATGGAATTTACAGTACAAAAATGCCCAGACAGATTTTGCACTGGTTTTACTAACTTAATTTGAATTCACACTTTTGATTAAACAAGCTCAGCTTCCCATATGGACAAACCTATAAAACGTGGTTTGACTTTCCCAGGGAACATTTTTCATGCAGCCATTAACTTGAAGGAGAACTGTGAGATATTACTGTACCTGCTTATGAAACTGTTTTTGTTAGATGACTAACTTTATGCATATATGTTTAAAATTATTTAAGAGGGCAATGAGGTTATTATTCCAAGTCCTATAAACGGAATTTCTTGCACATGTTCCTGATATTGGCTTCCATGCCTGTTTTGAATTTACTTACAAAGTACACTACCACACCCACAATTAATTTCAAGCTATTTCCTTGGCCCCCTCCGTTTTCTGCATTATCATCCTCACGTGCAGAAACTGCTCCCGTGTTTTTCACTGCACAGGAAATGCCAGGCTAGCAGCATGAGAAAGGCTTGGATTTTAACTAAATGTTGATGGTTGTTGCTCTGGCTTGAATGTGGCAACAACGAAAAGCTCTCACATTTAGTATCTACAACTCCTTTTTGCTACTGGCAAAGCCAGCCACGGTTCCAAACATACTCTAAAGCTACACAGGGATAAAAGCAACAAAGTAATGAGCTCAGGGAAGGAAAGATCTTCTGAAGGTACTCTTTTATTTCAGTTACAAACAGCCCAATTCTCAAACCTGTGGCGAATGAGGAACTCCAGCAGCTCAGTGCCACCTGATTTTCTGTATCCTTTCTGATGGTGCTCCCTCCTGCACAGCCCAGTCTAAGAAGAAAGAAAAGCTCCCATTATCCGTGTTTAACACACTGCCCAGCCCAGCACAGAGCACAGCCCCATCAATCCAGGCAAGCACTGCCAGCCATCTCACCCCCTCCTGCCTCTCCAGGAGAGTCTCACTCCTCTGCTGGCAATTCAGGAGAAATAAAAACTCCTTGTCTTCACAACTGTCCAGAAACAGGAACAAGCAAGACCTCGCCATTGACACACAACAATAAACTCAGGTTCCTTCGTGTTTCTGGGGTTCAGCTCATACCACACCAGCCAAGAGCATAATCAGAAATGAATTTGAGTTCTAATTCCAGCTACAGCTGTACATGAGGAGCAGGATCCTTTATAACTGCACACAGTTTCCCATCACTGCTGATTGAGATCTGCAGTGTAGAAATACCGAGCTTAATTCTCCTTTTTCCAGGCAGGCTAGGTCTTGGCTTAAAAAACAAAGCTGAAAAGCCCCAATCCAAACAACTATGTCTTGGTCTAAATCCTCCCTATGTTTGGATCTTCAAAATGATAGAGACTTCACAGAGATCTACTCTCTGATTTAAATGACTCCACGAGTCTATGAGTTCAAAAAGAAAAGTTTTATAAGTACAGGTTCAAAACAAACTGACTCTCCATGTAGTAAAAATTATCACTTTTGCCTTACAAGTAAAAATGATAATTAAATTATGATGCTCCAAAAAATTTATGAAAGGCTCTTCAAATTCATGAGAAGAGTCAGAATAAAAGCAGAGCTCTCAATCACTGAGGATTTTTAATGGCT